CAGAAACAGTGATGTCAAGCTCATTTTTGGTATCGACTGTGGAGAAAACAGCATCACCACCAAATCCTATGCAAGACCAAAGGATTTTGAGCTTCCATTTTACAAACGAAGATGCAAATCAGTAAAGAGATTGGATCGCAAGTCTTTGACCAAAATGTTTCAAAAAAAAAAAAAAAAAAACAAGATCTTGTAAGGGTCATCACCCTTTACTTGTGCTTGAAACTTCTCATGCCTACAACAGGCCATACACTCAGTTGGAGTTTCCTCAACTATGTTGACAATCTCAACAACATCAAGAAGTACAATTGGGTTGAGGTAATAAAAGACACACTGATGAATTCAATGGCAAATGCAAACAACAACCCAAGGCATGTCACTGGATGCGTCATGTTGCTCTTGGTAAACACATTACTTAACAACTTCACACAAAAATATTAGACATCTACCTATTTCTAACTGTCTAACATATTTCAATTTTTTTTTTACAGTACTGGTACTGTGAGCATAGTAAACTCCTCCGACCATCCAACAAAGAAGGCTTCCCAAGCTTTATGAAATGGAACCTTGGCAAAATGTACTTCAAGTGGAAACACATCAGCCTTGCTCACTTTGAAAAGGTATTCAAAGTCTTCTATACTATCATAGCACAAATCTATTCAACACTTCTTTCACAGTTATTATAGTAAAAATCATGTTATGAAACGTTCAAATTCTTCAGTTTCAAACAACATATATTCAATACTTGACTCACATTATTCACAGTACAAATCATATTATGAAACTGTAAAAGTTTGCAGTTTCAAAGCACACACTTATTTGACATCACTCATGTTATGAAACTGCAAAACTTTACAGTTTAAACGTACAAATCTATTTCACATCACTCATATTATGAAACTGTAAAATTTTACAGTTTCAAGAAACATATTTCGACACTTAACCCACATTACTCACAGTACAACTCATTTTATGAAACTGACCAATATTACAGTATTACTGATATAAGCCACATTATTCCAATGCAGGTTAACCAAAGTGCTTTAACCCCAACTGAACAAGAAATACAGTTATTGCATATCAATCAAAGCACATCAACAGACTCTTCAGCAAAGAAACAAGACCACAAAAAGGACAATAAGCAAAAAAAAAAAAAAAAAAAAAAAAAAAACAAAAGCAACAACAAAAAAAAAGAAGACTTCTAGACAGTGATGAGGAGGGCTTTCTCGAAGAAAAACATCAATTAGAATCAGAATCAGAACAAGAAGAACAACAACAAAAAAAGAAAAGAAAGTAAAAATCACAAGAAGAACCAGAAAGTAATGAACAAGAAGAAGAGAGTGATGATGAAAAAAAACAAGTGACTGATGAAGAAGAAACTGACGAAGAAGAAGAAGAAGAAGAAGAAGAAGAAGAAGAAGAAGAAGAAGAAGAAGAAGAACCAGAAGAACCTGATGAACAACAAGACAATGATGAAGCAGAAGAAAGACAAGAAGCAAAAGGTGATCAACAAGAAGACACTGATGAAGAAGAAGACCAACAACAAGAACAAGAACAAGAACAATAACAAACAAACCAACAACAAGAAGTCAACGAACAAGAACTGACAAACCAACAAGAAGAACTCCAAGAGAAATCTGACATATTTCATGCACAAGGTAAACTATTGTCTAATACTAAAGCAAATTGCAAAATTTAATTAAACTAACCAAAACACAATCCAACATTTTATAGGTCGTGACCAAGCACAAACACCAACCAAAGAGGACAACAAGGACAAGCTCATATAAGCTATGAGAGCACAAATGCAAGATATGGAACAAAAATTTATGGCTGAATTGCGTAAAAAAGAAGATCAATTAAAGAAAATGTTCACCAAAAAAACTAACAGTCCCCAATAAAGATCAATGGTAAAGAGAATCAAACAAAAGTCAAGAAAACAAGCACATGACCTAGATTTTGAATACCAACCAATGACAAAAGCTAAAGAAGATGCAAGAAACAAGACACAAACTGCTGTTGATGTACCCAAACCAATAGAGGGCACCGATGAAGAAAAAGAGAAGAAGAATGAAAAGAAAAAAAGAAGAAATCGAAACAGAGACAGAACCTCCTACTGAACCCGAGCAAAAAGAAGGTGCTCATGAAGCAAAACAACATTAGAAAGAAAAGATACAAGAAGATATTGGCCAACAGAAAGCAGTTGCTGCTGAAACCAACCCAAAAGAGGATGCCAATCAAGAGAAGACACAACTTCAAGTATTGGAAAGTGATGATGATTTCAAGGAAGAATCAATCAACAAAAATTTATGGCTGAATTGCGTAAAAAAGAAGATCAATTAAAGAAAATGTTCACCAAAAAAACTAACAGTCCCCAATAAAGATCAATGGTAAAGAGAATCAAACAAAAGTCAAGAAAACAAGCACATGACCTAGATTTTGAATACCAACCAATGACAAAAGCTAAAGAAGATGCAAGAAACAAGACACAAACTGCTGTTGATGTACCCAAACCAATAGAGGGCACCGATAAAGAAAAAGAGAAGAATAATGAAAAGAAAAAAAGAAGAAATCGAAACAGAGACAGAACCTCCTACTGAACCCGAGCAAAAAGAAGGTGCTCATGAAGCAAAACAACAGTAGAAAGAAAAGATACAAGAAGATATTGGCCAACAGAAAGCAGTTGCTGCTGAAACCAACCCAAAAGAGGATGCCAATCAAGAGAAGACACAACTTCAAGTATTGAAAAGTGATGATGATTTCAAGGAAGAATCAATCCAAAACAAGCCATTCACCATTTCATGCCGCAAAACAAACAAGGTTTGGCATAGCCTATCCAAAAAAGACCAAGACCAAATTCAACTCATCAACAACACATAATCAAGTGCTTGTGTTTGGTCTGGCAGCGAAGATGAAAATTGCGTATACTTTTCATATATATGCAGATTGACCAACAAGGAACCCTTATATAGGAATATAGGTCTCCAAGTGCACAATTTTACAGTTTCTGTTCATATTCAATAGCCTATTCTACAAACCTAACACATTCTCATATATTACATGTTTCAGGTCATTGATGCCTTCTCAGAAAAGAAATTGACACTCCAACCAACCATTTGAAGAATTTGAGAAGAATGATCTAGCCTTTGCAAGAAATCCATACGCGGGAGGATTTTACGTTTTCTCAACACTCATCAATGTAAGCAAAACTTAACATACCTTTCAATATTATTCAAATTGCAAAATTTTCTACTTTCTTAACACGTCTAACTACATAGTTTTATAACATATTTCAAACATATATATAACTTACAGACTCCACTACAAAATCAAGATCAAGCACTGAGAGAAAAAATGAGGGACAACCATTTTCCAGAAGCAATGAAAAACAGATATATCCAATTCCCAATCAACCATGACAACCATTGGACAATTGTGGTCTTTGACAATGCTGATGGGATATGAAGACACTATGACTCTTTGAGACCAGCAAAAGATTACCACAACAAGCACTTTGAAATTGCAAAGGAAATTGTAAGTTAAATAAAATTTCGTACTTAGTTTCATTCCTTTAAAAACATCCCAATCAACCATGACAACCATTGGATAATTGTGGTCTTTGACAATGCTGATGGGATATGAAGACACTATGACTCTTTGAGACCAGCAAAAGATTGCCACAACAAGCACTTTGAAATTGCAAAGGAAATTGTAAGTTAAATAAAATTTCCTACCTAGTTTCATTCCTTTAAAAACATCTCAACTCATCACTATAACTAACAAAAACACCCATTAACTATTTTGTAGCAACAACATCAACTGAGATGGAATAAAGCATTGCTCAACAATCAAGAAACATGTTATCATCTGAAGAGTGCGAGACAGTAATTGCATCAATTGAGGAATGCCTACAACAAACCCCACACTCGTAAGATACAAAATCAATAAACTAATTTTCCAATATGCTAAATTTTACAGTTTTACCTAACTAATTAACATCATCTAAAACTTTGCAGGAATGATTATGCAATCGCCGTCTGCAATGTTGTCAACCAATATATCAACTGGAAACCTGTGCAAAAATCACTTCCAACTGAGTGGGTCAAATTTCGAGCATAAATCATCAGTCAATTCCTCAATGATGAGAACTGATCTTGGAAACTCGAGCACTACCAAATGTTGACAAAACATACCAAACCATAGAAACAATCAACAAACTTCTTGACAATACAAATATTCAAGTGAACATATCTTTGTACTTTTTTTTTTTAACATGTGACAAGTACTTTATATACTTTTGGGAATGATCTTCTTCTGGTTATTATGGTGAAAATGATTGTTGTCATTGATGTACTTGTTTGTGGTTGCATATATTTTCATACAGTAAATGTTGTTTCTAATAATTCTTCAAACTGCAAAATTTTGCAGTTTCATCATCTTGTTTCTAATAATTTTTAAAACTGTAAAATTATGCGGTTTCATCAGGTTGTTTCTAATAATTCTTAAAACTGCAAAATTATGCAGTTTCATCAGGTTTTTTCTAATAATTCTTAAAACTACAAAATTATACAGTTTCATTACTCAAACAAAAATTATGCTACACAATTATACATCCAATTTCATGACTCAACAAATAGATGAACTACATTTCAAAATTGAAAATAAAACTGCAAAATTTTACAGTTTCGTCGCTACGAAATATGAAATAAATGAATCATGTAGTAAAACTGCATTTCAATATTATATAGTTTCAATAAGAAATTTTCAACAACTTTCTCAACATACCATAAAAATAAAACCAACCAAACCCACAAAAAAAAAAAATAAACATAAAAAACAAAACAAGACTGTTACAAAACAACTTCAATAAATAAAGAACATATCAAAAAATAAAAAATAATTCAACAAACTTTATTTATTACTTCCATAATACCAAGTATCACATTTTTTACTATCATAATTCCTCAAATTCAAATACAAATCCAAAAGAATAGACTATGGCCTCAAATAGCAACATTGCACGTCTTCTTATTGTGATTCCCATATTTCAAGCACCTCACACACTTGATTTGCTTAACATTCTCACCTCTTGAAGGCACTGGATAAACAGATTCCTTGTATGTCTCTCTAAAACAATTTACACGAAAAAAGGGATCAATAAAATCATACACATCTCTACCACTACTACGCAAATCATGCATAGCATGACAACAAGGAAAACCATTCAATTGCCATTCATGGCAAGAACAAGTCTGTCTACCAATATCAACATAAAAAGAAATAGAAGAATGAACCTCAAGTACAGTATCACTAGCAACAATCACATCCCAAGACTTAGCTAGCTCTAAAGAGTCCACCAACTTCTTTTCTATAACTGGACACAATTTCGTAGTCCATCTTTTAGATTCAGCTCTTCTATTCGACAATTGAGTCATGATTTGAACACTAATTATATCAACCATACAAGTAATAGGCAACTCACGGGCCCCACCAATCCAATTATTGTAAGACTTAGCAGCATTAGATGACATCACCATATCGTTTTCCTCTAAAAAATGCATTCGCCCACTTATCATTTTGCAAACCATCCAACATACTATCAACTCTATCATTCCCAGCAATACGCCTCAACTTCTCCATATAATGTTGGAAAGAAGCAACCGTTGGCGCATAAGCACATTTAACTAATATTTTCATCAAACTCAGCTTATAGTTAGTACGAAGTCCCACCAATTTGTCAATCAAATTTTTCTTCAAATGATTCAAGCAATATACATGATATGCATTGGGAAAAACCACTGAAAAGAGCATCTAGCAATCCATGTTGACGGTCTGACACAAAAGTCAATCTTCGGCCTGAACCAACAGCCTTTAACAATTGACATAAGAACCACATCCAATTATCTTGATTTTCAGCGTCAACAATCGCAAAAGCCAAAGGAAACAGACCTGCAAACAAAATATTATGAAACTGCAAAAATTAACAGACTCACAATACAATAACACACTGACAAACCAAACCTATACTAACTGCAAATAAATACATACCTTGATTACCATCTTTTGATGTTGCTGTAAGCAAATGCCCCTTGTAACGACCCTTCAAGAATGTACCATCAACAAACAACAACGGACGACAAAATTGAAAGCCATACAAACATCCATGAAATGCCACAAACAACCTCCGAAAACACCCACTACTTTCATCCACATCTAATTCAAACACACTTCCCGGATTTGTTCTCATAGCTGTCTCAAGGTACCATCGAAGTTGGTCAAAAGAAGTTGCAAAATCACCAAACAACTCACCTCTTGCCTTATCAACTCCTAACCATGTAACCCGATAAGAAACATCTATACCATATTTCTTCTTCAACTTTTTTTTAACTTCAATAGGACGAGTCAACGGATTATCACTAATATCATTATGCACAATATCAGACACAAGTCTAGAACTAACCATTTTGCTACAAGATTTACGAGCAACAACCCCACAATTATGTACATTATCCAACTTCATTATAAAAAAAAATACCGGAATTCATCAACACCCTCCCATGCACAAACCATTTACAACCCGTAGACGACTTCATCAAACATTCAGCAGTTACTCTTGTTGTATCGTTCTTCAAATAATTCACTGCAAAGCCACACTCAACTGCATACTTAGTCAATGCAATGCAAAACGCCGACACTCCACCTTCAAATTCTTGACCAACACTATGTATAATCCCCTTCCAACTACCAGACAACAAAACTCTCTGGTTCTGAATAAAAACTAGGCAACAAACCACCAAAATCATCACAATCGTTAACCAAAGAACTCTCACAAATTACAGAATCAATCCTACAAGAATTATCAACCTCCATAATTCTCTTATCACCCACAACAATATCAACAACACGACAACCACTACCACCTACCATTGACAACATATTTCCCAAATCATCATCACATTTAACAATACAATTAGAATATCCAGGAATAGAGAAAAACAAACAAAAGTTACCAACACTCAACTCCTTGAACTTCGCACATATTTTCTCAACAACTTCATGATAACTACAACCCTCACTAATCTTAATAGCAGCACAAGAATTACTGTATTTGCACATTAACATGAAACATCCCTCCATACTACAAAATCACAAACCAACAAACAATTGTTCACAGATTCCAAACTGTAAAATTATACAGTTACAACATATCAGTACCAACAGTACAATGAGATCGACCACAAAACACAATGAGATCGCCACAACGAAGAGAAATCAAGATCGCAGAGGCGAATATTTGATTTTCTTTTTTAAACGGAGCAAATATTTGATTTTTCACGTATATATACATCTCAAAACAAAGGGTAATACAGTCATTTACAAAATACGAAAATAAAAAACAGGATCTCTGGGTATAGAACTTAAAAAATTGTGGACCTATTAATCTATTGAAAATATAATGGGATTAGAAGGGAAATAAATCCCCTACATAGGACTACATAGTAATTTTCCCAAAGTTAAAGAATCTTATGGGCTAGTCCTATGACTTAACCTTAATTATTAATGGAAAAATTACTATGTAGTCCTATGTAGGGGATCTATTTCCCTTCTAATCCCAATATATTTTTAATAGATTAATAGGTTCACAGTTTTTTAAGTTTTATACCCGGAGGTCTCGTTTTTTATTTTCTTATTTTTTAAATGACTGTATTACCCTTTGTTTTGAGATCTATATATACGTGAAAAATCAAATATTTGCTCCATTCAAAAAAGAAAATCAAATCTTTGCCTCTGCGATCTCGATTTCTTTTCGTTATGGCGATCTGATTGTGCTGTGTGGTCGATCTCATTGTACTGTGAGGTGGATTTGGTTGTGCGATCTGAATCTCTGTGTATAGGCGATTTGTGTGTACGTTCTCTATGTGTGTGTGTGTGTCTATGTGTCTGTGTCTCACTCTGTCTGTATATATAGATAACCAAATTTGCGTGATATTTGGTTTGTGTTTGGCAATGTTGTTTTAGTTCTTTATTTTGTGATAAATTTTGTTTGTTTGATACTTATTTTGTGATTTTTATATGTGATATAGTGTAATGATTCTGATTTTGTTGATTTTGTTTGTTGTATAGTGTAATGTGTTTTGAAGTTGTAGTTTGAATTTGTGAATTATGATGTTTTGATACTAATATGTTGTAACTATATAATTTTGCATTTTGAAATCTGTGAACAATTGTTTGCTGATTTGTGATTTTGTAGTATAGAGGGGTGTTTCATGTTGATGTGCAAATACAGTAATTCTTGTGCTGCTATTAAGATTAGTGAGGGATGTAGTTATCATGAAGTTGTTGAGAAAATATCTGCAAAGTTCAAGGAGTTGAGTGTTGGTAACTTTTGTTTGTTTTTCTCTATTCCTGGATATTCTAATTGTATTGTTAAATGTGATGATGATTTGGGGAATATACTGTCAATAGTAGGTTGTAGTGGTTCTCATGTTGGTGATGTTGTTGTGGGTGAAAAGAGAATTGTGGAGGTTGATGGTGATAATTCTTGTAGAATTGATTCTGTAATTTGTGAGAGTTCTTTGGTTAATGATTGTGATGATTTTGGTGGTTTGTTGCCTAGTTTTTATCAAGAACCAGAGAGAGTTTTGTTGTCTGGTAGTTGGAAGGGGATTATACTTAGTGTTGGTCAAGAATTTGAAGGTGGAGTGCCGGCGTTCCGCATTGCATTGGCTAAGTATGCAATTGAGTGTGGTTTTGTAGTGAATTATTTGAAGAACGATGCAACAAGAGTAACTGCTGAATGTCTGATGAAGTTATCTATGGGTTGTAAATAGTTTGTGCATGGAAGGGTGTTGATGAATTTTGGTATTTTTTTATAATGAAGTTAGGTAATGTGCATACTTGTGGGGTTGTTGCTCGTAGATCTTGTAGCAAAATGGTTGGTTCTAGACTTGTGTCTGATATTGTGCATAATGATATTAGTGATAATCCATTGACTCGTCCTATTAAAGTTAAAAAAAAGTTGAAGAAGCAATATGGTGTAGATATTTCTTATCGGGTTGCATGGTTAGAAATTGATAAGGCAAGAGGTGGGTTGTTTGGTGATTTTGTAACTTTTTTTGACCAACTTCGATGGTACCTTAAGACGGCTATGAGAACGAATCCGGGAAGTGTGTTTGAATTAGATGTGGATGAAGGTAGTAAGTGTTTTCAGAGGTTGTTTGTGGCATTTCATGGATGTTTGTATGGCTTTCAATTTTGTCGTCCGTTGTTGTTTGTTGATGGTACATTCTTGAAGGGGCGTTACAAGGGACATTTGCTTGCAACAACATCAAAGGATGGTAATCAAGGTATGTATTTATTTGCAGTTAGTATAGGTTTGGTTTGTCAGTGTATTATTGTATTGTGAGTCTGCTAATTTTTGCAGTTTCATGTTATTTTGTTTGCAGGTTTGTTTCCTTTGAATTTTATGATTGTTGACGTTGAAAATCAAGATAATTGGATGTGGTTCTTAAGTCAGTTGTTAAAGGCTGTTGGTTCAGGCCGGAGATTGACCTTTGTGTCTGACCATCAACATGGATTGCTAGACACTCTTTCAGTGATTTTTTTCAATGCACATCATGCATATTGCTTAAATCATTTGAAGAGAAGATTTCGTACTAACTATAAGCTGAGTTTGATGAAAATATTAGTTAAATGTACTTATGCGCCAACTGTTACTTCTTTCTAACATTATATGGAGAAATTGAGGCGTATTGCTGGGAATGGTAGAGTTGATAGTATGTTGGATGGTTTGCAAAATGATAAGTGGGCTAATGCATTTTTTAGAGGTAAACGATATAGTGAGATGTCATCTAATGCTGCCGAGTCTTACAATAATTGGATTGGTGGGGCCCGTGAGTTGCCTATTACTTGTATGGTTGATATGATTAGGGTTCAAAGCATGACTCAATTGTCGAATAGAAAAGCTGAATCTAAAAGATGGACTACGAAATTGTGTCCAGTTATGGAAAAGAAGATGGTGGACTTTTTGAAGCTAGTTAAGTCTTGGGATGTGATTGTTGCTAGTGATACTGTGCTTGAGGTTCACTATTCTATTTCTTTTTATGTTGATATTGGTAGACAGACTTGTTCTTGCCATGAATGGCAATTGAATGGTTTCCTTGTTGTCATGCTGTGCATGGTTTGTGTAGTAGTGGTAGAGATGTGTATGATTTCATTGATCCCTTTTTTCATGTAGATTGTTTTAGAGAGTCATACAAGGAATCTGTTTATCCAGTGCCTTCAAGTGAGAGATTTGACTTTGATGGTGCTGGTAGTTCGATTATCAATCCTCCTATAACGAAGAAGCAGCCTGGGCGGAACAAGAAGAAGATGATACCTTCTAGGGGTGAGAATATGAAGTAAATCAAGTGTGGAAGGTACTTGAAATATATGAATCACAATAAGAAGACATGCAAGGCTGCTATTTGAGGTCACAATCTATTTTTTTGGATTTGTATTTAAATTTGAGGAATTATGATAATAAAAAATGTGATACTTGGTATTATGGAAGTAATGAATAAAGTTGGTTGCATTATTTTTTTCTTTTTTAATGTGTTCTTTAGTTATTGAAGTTGTTTTGTAACAGTTTTTTTTTGTTTTTTATTTTTATTTTTTTTGTGGATTTGGTTGGTTTTATTTTTATGCAATGCTGAGAAAGTTGTTGAAAATTTCTTTTTGAAACTGTATAATATTGAAATGTAGTTTTATTACATGATTTATTTATTTCATATTTTGTAATGACAAACCTATAAAATTTTACAGTTTTATTGGATGCATAATCATGATTCAGTCATGAAATTGGATGCATAATTGTGTAGCATAAGTTTTGTTTGAGTAATGAAACTACATAATTTTACAGTTTTAAGAATTATGAAAAACAACCTGATGACACTGCATAACTTTGCAGTTTTAAAAATTATTAGAAACAACCTAATGAAACTGCATATTTTTGCAGTTTGAAGAATTGTTAGAAACAACCTTTACTGTATGAAAATATATGCAACCATAAACAAGTATACAAACAATCAGAAGAAGAACAACAATAATAATAACAAGAAGAAAAGTAACAACAACATCAATGATAACAATCATTTTCACCATAATAGCCACAAGAAGATCATTTCCCAAAACCATATAAAGTACTTGTCACATGTCACATGTTAAAAAAAAAAAAGTACAAAAATATGTTCACTTAAATATTTGTATTGTCAAGAAGTTTGTTCATTGTTTCTATGATTTGGTATGTTTTGTCAGTATTTGGTAGTGTTCGAGTTTCCAAGATCGGTTGTTATCATTGAGGAATTGACTGATGATTTCTGCTCGAAATTTTACCCACTCAGTTGGTCGAAGTGATTTTTGCACAGGTTTCCAGTTGACATATTGGTTGATAACATTGCAGATGGCGATTGCACAATCATTTTTGCAAAGTTTTAGATGAAGTTAATTAGTTAGGTAAAACTGCAAAATTTAGCATATTGGAAGATTAGTTTATTGATTTTGTATCTTACGAGTGTGGGGTTTGTTGTGGGCATTCCTCAATTGATGCAATACTGTCTCGCACTCTTGAGATGATAACATGTTTCCTTGATTACTGAATAATACTTTATTCCATCTCAGTTGATGTTGTTGCTACAAAATAGTTAGTGGGTGTTTTTGTTAGTTATAGTGATGAGTTGAGATGTTTTGAAAGGAATGACACTAAGTAGGAATTTTTATTTAACTTACAATTTCATTTGCAATTTTAAAGTGTTTGTTGTGACAATCTTTTGCTAATCTCAAAGAGTCATAGTGTCTCCATATCCCATCAGCATTGTCAAAGACCATATTTGTCCAATGATTGTTGTGGTTGATTGGGAAATGTATATATCTGTTTTTCATTGCTTTTGGAAAATGACTGTCCATCATTTTTTCTTTCAGTGCTTGATCTTGGTTTTATAGTAGAGTCTGTAATTTATATATATGTTTGAAATATGTTATAAAACTATGTAGTAAGACATGTTAAGAAAGTAGAAAATTTTGTAGTTTGAATAATACTGAAAGGTATGTTAAGTTTTGCTTACATTAATGAGTGTTGAGAAAACGTAAGATCTTCCCGCGTATGGATTTCTTGCAAAGGCTAGATCATGTTTCTCAAATTCTTCAATGGATGGCTGGAGTGCCAATTTCATTTCTGAGAAGGCATTAATGACCTGAAACATGTTATATATGAGAATGTGTCAGGTTCTTAGAATATGTTATTGAATATGAACAGAAACTGTAAAATTGTGCAGTTGGAGACCTACATTCCCATATAAGGGTTCCTTGTTGGTCAATCTGTATATATCTGAAAAGTATATGCAATTTTCATCTTCACTGCCAGACCAGACACAAGCAGTTGATTGTGTGTTGTTGATGAGTTGAATTTGGTCTTGGTCTTTTTTGGATAGGCTATGCCAAACCTTGTTTGTTTTGCGGCATGAAATGGTGAGTGGCTTGTTTTGGATTGATTCTTCCTTGAAATCATCATCACTTTGCAATACTTGAAGTTGTGTCTTCTCTTGATTGGCATCCTCTTTTGGGTTGGTTTCAGCAGCAACTTCTTTCTCTTGGCCAATATCTTCTTGAATATTTTCTTTTTGCTGCTGTTTTGCTTCATGAGCACCTTCTTTTTGCTCGGGTTCAGTAGCAGGTTCTTTCTTTGTTTCGATTTCTTCTTTTTTCTTTTCATTCTTTTTCTCTTTTTCTTTATTGGTACCCTCTGTTGGTTTGGGTACATTAGTAGCAGTTTTTGTCTTGTTCCTTGTATCTTCTTTGGCTTTTGTCATTGGTTGGTATTCAAAATCTAGGTCATGTGCTTGTTTTCTTGACTTTTGTTTGATTCTCTTGACCATTGATCTTTGTTGGGGACTACCAGTTTTTTTGACGGACATTTCCTTCAATTGATCTTCTTTTCTACGCAATTCAGCCATGAATTTTTGTTCCATTTCTTGCATTTGTGCTCTCATGGCTGATATGAACTTGTCCTTATCGTCCTCTTTGGTTGATGTTTGTGCTTGGTCATGACCCATAAAAATGTTTGATTGCGTTTTGGATAGTTTAATTAAATTTTACAGTTTGCTTCAGTATTAGACAAGAGTTTACCTTGTGCATGAAATGTGTCAGATTTCTCTTGGAGTTTTTCTTGTTGTTCTGTCCTTTGTTCTTCTTGTTGTTTTGCTTGTTCTCTTTTTTCATGTTGTTGTTGTTGGTCTGTTAGTTCTTGTTCATTGACTTCTTGTTGTTGGTTTGTTTGTTGTTCTTCTTGTTCTTTTTGTTGGCCTTTTTCTTCGTCAGTGTCTTCTTGTTGATCACCTTTTTCTTCTTCTCTTTCTTCTTGTTCATCATTGTCTTGTTGTTCATCAGCTTTTTCTTCTTCATTAGCTTATTCTTCTTCATTATTAACTTGTTTTTTTTCATCATCACTCTCTTCTTCTTATTCATCACTTTCTAGTTCTTCTTGTAGTTCTTGATTTCTTTTTTCTTTTTTGTTGTTGTTGTTGTTCTTCTTGTTCTGATTCTGATTGATGTTCTTCTTCGAGAAAGTCATCATCATCACTGTCTAGAAGTTTTTTTTTTTTTTTTTTTTTTGCTTTTGTTTATTTTTTTCGCTTATTGTCCTTTTTGTGGTCATGTTTCTTTGTTGAAGAGTCTGTTGATGTGCTTTGATTGATATGCAATAACTGTATTTCTTGTTCAGTTGGGGTTAAAGTATTTTGGTCAACCTGCATTGGAACAATATGGCATATATCAGTAATACTGTAAAATTGGTCAGTTTCATAAGATGGGTTGTATTGTGAGTAATATGAGTTAAGTGTTGAAATATGTTGTTTGAAACTGAAAAATTTACAGTTTCATAACATAAGTGATGTTAAATAGATTTGTGCGTTTAAACTGTAAACTTTTGCAGCTTCATAACATGAGTGATGTTAAATAGATTTGTACGTTTAAACTATAAACTTTTACAGTTTCATAACATGAGTGATGTTAAATAGGTGTGTGCTTTGAAACTGTAAACTTTTACAGTTTCATAATATGATTTGTACTGTGAATAATGTGAGTTAAGTGTTGAATATATGATGTTTGAAACTGAAGAATTTGACAGTTTCATAACATGATTTTTACTATAATGACTGTGAAAAGAGTGTTGAATAGATTTGTGCTATGATAGTATAGAAGACTTTGAATACCTTTTCAAAGTGAGCAAGGCTGATGTGTTTCCACTTGGAGTACATTTTTCCAAGGTTCTATTTCATAAACCTTGGGAAGCCTTCTTTGTTGGATGGTCGGAGGAGTTTATTGTGCTCATAGTACCAGTACTGTAAAAAAAAAATTGAAACATGTTAGATAGTTTGAAATAGGTGGATGTTTGATATTTTTGTGTGAAGTAGTTGAGTAGTGTGTTTACCAAGAGTAACATGACACATCCAGTGACATCCCTTAGGTTGTTGTTTGCATTTGCCATTGAATTCATTAGTATGTCTTTTATTGCCTCAACCCAATTGTACTTCTTGATGTTGTTGAGATTGTCAACATAGTTGAGGAAACTCCAACTGAGTGTATGGCCTGTTGTAGACATGAGAAGTTTCAAGCACAAGTAAAGGGTGATGACCCTTGCAAGATCTTGACGATCATTGGTTGATTTTCCTTTTTTTGTTTGTTGAAACATTTTGGTCAAAGACTTGCCATCCAATCTCTTTACTGATTTGCATCTTCGTTTGTAAAATGCATGCTCAAAATCCTTTGGTTTTGCATAGGATTTGGTGGTGATGCTGTCTTCTCCACAGTCGATACCAAAAATGAGCTTGACATCACTGTTTCTGAGTTTCATTTCCTTTTTGCCAAGTATAAATGCTCTTTTTCTTTTGTTGTAGAGTGTTGTCATTTCTGCTTTCATTGTAGCATTTGCACCAAGAGGCCTTTAGTTGTGTTAAGGAGAGAGCATTTATAATGGGCCAAAAAGGAGTTTTTTCCAGCTCTGTCTGTTGGGCTTTTGTGAATTTGACCCCCTTCAACAGTTTGATTATTGTTCCGATGTTGGAACGGTAATTAAACTGTTGGACTCTCTTTGCAGGGATTGCTCCTTTTTTCCCTTTTGATGGCTTGGTTTTTGTTTTGGGAGTTGATTGGCTTTCTTGAAGCTTTCTTTTTTTGGTTAGAGGAGCTTCTTATTTTTTTGTTGGCTTTCTTTTGTTTGTTTTTTTTGTGGTTGGAGGTGTGATTGGTGTTTGTTGTGTGTAGTTTTTGGGCTTTTTCTTATAGGTAGTGTGGTTGTTTTGTGGATTTTTTGGTGGAGTCTATGGTGGCTGGGTTTTTTGTGGAGGGGGAGATTTTGGTGGCATTTCAGTAGATACAGGCCAAGTACTGTCAAAAGGGGAGATACTTAAATTCCTAATTAGATTTTTGGGCATATGGGTTTGTTTCTTCTAATATCTTCCAACAACTATTTCTGAAAAAATGAAAGTGACAGCAAGACATGAGTAATATAGTGACAAAACTATATAATTTTGTAGTTTTATATGCAGTTTAATATGAAGTTGTATCTATTTGTTGTTAATAGTTACCAAACTGTATAATTTGATAGTTTGATTTGCACTTTATAATAAGTTACCTATTTGTTTTGAATAGTGATTAAAGTGTGTAATTTTGCAGTTTCATTTGCAGTTTGAATAAATTTAGATATGTTACTTGTAGAGTGATGAAATGAGACTGTATGATATTGCAGTTTTTATAAACAGTATCAACAATAAGAACATCCCATTATATTTTGTAAACAACAACAATAACAACGAGAAGATTAAGTATTCAACGAAATGTAGCAACAATACGAAGAAGAAAAGTCAACATTTAATAAAAAAAAGAAGCAAGAACAGCAAGAATAAGAATAAGGTGTTGAATGTATAAAAACAAGAATTTATGTGTAAAAACAGTGGATTAGAATGTTTAAAAACAGGGGACTAGAATGTTTTAAAACAAAGGATTATATATAAAAGAGGGTTTATACATTTTGAATTATGTAAAATGTGTTTTACAAGGGTTTTTATTTTTTATTTTTATGAAAGTGTTATTGAAATGGTATATACGTAATATGAAAGAATGATGTACAAATTTGAATGAAAAATAATGGATAAGTGAAGAGAGATGTTACTTTTTTTCCACATTTCTATGAATCGGAAGTCAGGAACTATGAAATTTCTTCAGAGTGGTGATAGTTCTTCATTTTGTTGAGAGTCGCTGATTGGAGAATATGAACGGCTTGGTGTTGTGTTGAAGATGAACGGTTTCGTTTTGTGGTTAGGGTAGGGTTTCAGAGGGAGTGGAGTCGAACGGTGGAAAGATGAAGGACTGAGAATGCTTAATCGAGCGGCAGAGATGTGATAGTGTACTGATCAGACTGAGATGATCGTGGGTGATGGTTACGCGCGTGTAAATTGGATGATATATTGTGGGTATTTTCGTCTGATTGATAATTTGAGGACTTAATGAAGTATTAAATTTGTTTTGAGCCTAAATAGGGCATGATATGTTGGGCTTGGACCTTTGGGTCAGTTGCCCATTATTAATAGATCTTACTCTAACTATTCATGATAAATTTATTCTAGTAAAAATATTTTAATAAAATATAATTTAATTACTTATACTTTTTATATCATAGTTCAAGACAAACTAATACAAATGAATTAAAAATAAATCAAAACTCATAATCAAAAATTCAAAATAATTCAATCATTTATCACTTTAATAAATTTATCAATATCATTATAAGTACCAAATGATCATTTTACAAATACAAAATATACATTTAAAAAGTCTCAAAATTTTTTATTACTAAAATTATGGACAAATACATAAAAACAAGGGTAGAATTGTTATAGTTAGGGGTGTGCGCGGTGCGGGTCAGTGCAGTTTAGAAGAAAAATAAAAATTGTACGACAGGTGGCGGATTGGTAAAAGTGTCATTAGAAATTGTCATTTTTCTTATCAAAAACCAACGTTTTGATTGGCAAATAATGGTCGTTTTGACTTAGCAGTTCGGGCGGATTGGCGGTTTGTAAAAAATATAATTAAAATTATAGAACTTAAATCAAAGAGAAAAGATCTAATTTATAAATTAACCAAAATTGTTATAATATTGACATACTAGTAAAGATTTCATTCCGAGATCCATTGTTTGAAAGATATGATTAACTTGTTATAATAAAATTTTGGAATGAGGAAGGGCAGTGCTACTTTAGAGAGTAAAGGACATGCCTGTGTTATTACAAAAGTATGGAAGGACTAAATTGTTCAAAAAAATTCTGAAGTAAGGGTAAGAAGTGACATTTTAGAGAGTAAGGATGATGCCGGTGTTATTTCAAAAGAATTCAAGGGGTGTTAGAGTAATTTATCCTTAAGAAAATTGTTCAATTTGAATATTGTCATACTAGTAAAGATTTCATTCCAAGATCCATTGTTTGAAAGATATGATTAACTTGGTCGAAACTTAAGCAGGTTACTGTTGGACTACCTAATGTAAGAAGAAGAGAAGAAATATTAAAAGTACATAGCAAGAACAAGAAGCTAGACAAGGATGTGTCTCTCAGTGTCATTGCCCTACGAACGCCAGGGTTCAACAGTGTTGATCTAACGACCGTTATGAACGAAGCAGCCATTCTTGCTGGTCGGAGAGGCAAAGATAAGATTACATCAAAAGAGATTGATGACTCAATTGATCAGATAGTGGCAGGGATGGAAGGAACCAAGATGACAGATAGGAAAAGCAAGATTTTAGTGGTGTATCATGAAATTGGGCACACTATTTGCGCGTAAGTTCACCATCTTACACTTTGTTTTTTCTATTGCTTCATTTTTTGAACTTGAAAATTAATGACAAGAAAAGGGCAACTAGTTTCAAGGGAATGCCTTATGCTAACAGCAAGCCTTATTGTTGGGCCAAACCGCACTTAAGATCAACATTGTGATTTGCTATGTAGTACTTCATTACATTACGAGGACTTCCAAATCTCCTTCACATGTTGACATTCAGATTCATGTAGTACTTCATTACATTACGAGGACTTCCAAATCTCCTTCACATGTTGACATTCAGATTCATGTAGTACCTTTTTACATTACGAGGACTTCTAGATCTCCTTCAAATTTTGACTCATTTCAAGTGGTTTGTGGGAATGAAATCTAGTTGTCTATCATTGATAGATACATATTATACATGTAAACAGACACACAGCTAGATTAAAAAAGGATAGAGGTGAGAAAGAAGTGGAAACAAAGAAGATGCTGAGAACATGAAACGTGAAGCTATATATAATTGCTGAACTAGTTGTTTAAGAAACTATCAACCCTTTGCATTGGCTGTCCTTGATAAAAATTTCATACAGATGGGCGGATTTACACCTGCCAACGCCAATATTGTAAAAAATATATGTATTATTGATATTGATCTTGATGTGTTGTATTACAAATCAGAGTGGCATTATATAGGAGAGGGTTTGGGTAGTAGGTGAGGAGTAGGTGAGGGTAAATTGGTGGTAGGTGGAGTGTAGTAGGTGAGTGTGAATGGTAAATTCTAACAGCCCCCCGCAAACTCAAGGAGGATAGGAACTAACCAACTTGAGTTTGAAGAGAGGAACAAAACAAGAAAATACATAAAAATAAAAAAAGATAGGAGACACTGTATGGTCGTGTCAGACCGTTGGTGAAGGTGTCATAACGTTGTAGAGGACACTGTATGGTGGTGTCATAACGTGTAGAGGACACTGGATGGCGGTGTCAGACCGATGTAGAAGACAGTTTACGGGGTCATGTCGGACCGTTGTAGCAGACACTGTGTGGTCGTGTCAGACCGTTGTAGAAGACAGTTTATGGGGTCATGTCGGACCGTTGTAGAAGACAGTTTACGGGGTCATGTCGGACCGTTGTACTATAACTCAAATACAACAATTTTTTTGACCTGGTGAACTGTCCCTGGGTTGACGGTCAGTGGTTCAACCGCCGATTTTTCCGGTTCTCACAAATAGGTCGAGTTTTTTATCTCAAACGTTCTAGAGTATCCGACCAAAACCCCGACCGATCGATGATTCAACCAGTCGAACCGGCCGGTCGATCCAATTTTTAAAACCTTGGGTCTAATCATTCATGCCAATGAATTCAATTCAAGTTGGTGTCGCTGTTGCCATCTTTAGTGCGACTACAAATGCATGGCTATTTTGGTAATTTTAAATTTTTTCAAAATGTGAAAAAATAAAAAATAATATATAGACTGTTTTGGAAACTTAATTAAAAGTCACTTTTTTGTTTTAACTTGTTTTGAATTACATCATCTCTTTTTTTTTTATGCATTTTTTTAAAAAAATTTAAAAATTAATTTTAATCTACTCTCAAAACAAACCTATAATTCAAATAAGTCAATAAAATGATTTTTTTCTTAGTTGCCCAATAGGCCATGGTGATAGCTTTTATTGAATAAACTAAGAATATTATCAGTTTTTTTTCAATTTTAAACTGAGAACATTATCAATATTTTCATTTTTAATTTTTTTTTTAATTTTGAATCATACTTTTTATAGACACAAAATTTTCAATTTTTGCACAAAAAAATAATTCAATTTTTTCAAAAAAAAACATTTTTTTTTTGCACATAATTTTTTTTGTTTTTAGTTTTTTCAATTGAAAGTTGATATTTTAAATTTTGAAATATAATAAATGTCAAATTATCATTTCTTTTATGGATAATCATAATGATAAACAATCATTGTTTGAAGAATAATTCTGATTGTTAAAAATTTAATAGACTTGATGGTCCAAAAATGTTAGTTAATGAAGTATAAATTTATAAATCAAGACTTGTAGTTTAATAATATTTAAAACAAAAGTTTAATATGCATTGCTTTCAAATAAATAAAAAAAATAAAAAAATACTTATAATATTCCGGACTCAATCGTGAAGAAACGTGGGTCTTATTACTATCAAATGGACTGAAATTATTGATTAGAACACTTTAGTAGGTGTCTTTACGATATTTATTTATTTGACTAGAAACAGATAGTAATATATATTTTAGAAATTTATTAATTATGAAGTAAGTGGATGACCAAACTTTAGTGGATAAACAAGATAGAATATTATCTTTTGTGCTAGTTCATATCGAGTATAAACAATAATCCCTGTATTATGAAAGCAAAATAGAGTTGATCCCTTTGCTCATGTTTATGTGATTTTATTTGTTTTCTACACTGTTATTGCATTATTGAATTTAAAAAAATGTTAAAGAATTCATAATTTAAATCTCACAATTTATTTACAATGACAAAATAAAAAAATTAAGTCTTACATAATTGAATTCGTACACATTAAAAATTGATCCATAATTTATCCATAATTTTAATTAAATTACGATCTCAATTTTTTTTTATTCGACCTTGCATGAAGATTAATTGTCAATGGTCAACACCTGGATGAGCAAGTGGAATGAGTAAAAGTAAGAGACAAACATAAGCCTCACAAGTGGACCAACTTCTGAATGAGGATGATGTCATGATGACTAAATATTTCATATGTTTTTTCATGAAAAAAGAGAAAGGAGAAATGGTGAACACAGTTGGTTCTTCTGGTTTCCAAAGATACTATATCCAATGATCCAAATGCCGACTACCCGCTTGCATCCCCATTTTTTGTTTTTTACACCACTCAACAAATTTATTCTTGTTCTTATTATTATTTGTCTATACTCACCAAACTATCCCCATCTTTCAACCTCTTCCTTTCTTCGACACCACCACACACCCCACCACTTGTCCACTGCCACTACCCCACCTACGGCCCCTCTCCTTCCTCTCTCACTCTCCTAGTCGTCCCCCACTCCTTACTCATCCATGAACAACACACACTCCTTCCGATGAATGGAAGAGAGAGACAGGGAATAGGTGGGGTGAAGAAGAGGAGAAAGGGGACGAGTGAGAGAAGTAAGAAGGGAGGAGAAGGGTGCTATAGTAAGTGATTATTTAATTTTTTAATTTATTTTCCTCGACTCTCAAGAATAAAATAAATATAATAAGATGAAAACTTACTTCCAACAATAATGTGCCCAAAACTTTTACACTCACGCATTCATAGGTAACGAATTTTCTATAACACATTAACTGTGATTATTTGTGTTTTGGGTGATAATATATTCATTTCATTATTAAACTTAAATATTGACATTGTGATGTAATGATTTATGATTGACAAAATACATTGGTTGTGTTGAATAATGTTTAAATTATAAATTGAATTATTTTCATGTATTAATTAATACTAGTATCTGTGTCCATATCTGTATCTGTCTCATGGATCGCCTTCCAACATCAAACACTGTTAACATATTATTTTCTTGAAATTGAAACAAGCAGGAGCTTTGGGAATACCTTTTGGCATGAGTGAAAAAATGCCAAACACCAACTGAAGCTGATGATGCACGAATATAAAGAACCCAGCTGTGGTTGGATGATTGGATTTCTTTTTTGTTAGCTTCTTGACTTTTTTCTGTAGTGCCTTAGAGGTACATGCATACATTCCCAAATCTATTATTTGATGTTCAGCAATTATATATGCTTCACGTTTCATGTTCTCAGCATCTTCTTTTTTCCACTTCTTTCTCACCTCTATCCTTTTTTAATCTAGCTGTGTGTCGTTACATGTATAATATGTATCTATCAAATGATAGACAACTAGATTTCTCCACAAACCACTTGAATGAGATCAAAATTTGAAGGAGATCTAGAAGCTCCGTAATGTAAAAAAGTACTACATGAATCTGAATGTCAAAATGTGAAGGAGATTTGGAATCCTTAATGTAATGAAATACTACATGAATCTGAATGTCAACATGTGAAGGAGATTTGGAAGTCCTCGTAATGTAATGAAGTACTACATATCAAATCACAATGTTGATCTAAGTGCGGTTTGGCCCAACAATAAGGCTTGCTGTTAGCATAAGCATTCCCTTGAAACTAGTTGCCCTTTTCTTGTCATTAATTTTCAAGTTCAAAAAATGAAGCAATAGAAAAAACAAAGTGTAAGATGGTGAACTTACGCGCAAATAGTGTGCCCAATTTCATGATACCCACTAAAATCTTGCTTTTCCTATCTGTCATCTTGGTTCCTTCCATCCCTGCCACTATCTGATCAATTGAGTCATCAATCTCTTTTGATGTAATCTTATCTTTGCCTCTCCCACCAGCAAGAATGGCTGCTTCGTTCATAACGGTCGTTAGAAACACTGTTGAACCCTGGCGTTCGTAGGGCAATGACACTGAGAGACACATCCTTGTCTAGCTTCTTGTTCTTGCTATGTACTTTTAATATTTCTTCTCTTCCTTCTTACATGTAGGATCCAACAGTAACCTGCTTAAGTTTCGACCAAGTTAATCATATCTTTCAAACAATGGATCTTGGAATGAAATCTTTACTAGTATGACAATATTCAAATTGAACAATTTCTTAAGGATAAATTACTCTAACACCCCTTGATTCTTTTTAAATAACACCGGCATCATCCTTACTCTCTAAAATGTCACTTCTTACCCTTACTTCAGAATTTTTTTGAACAATTTAGTCCTTCCATACTTTTGTAATAACACAGATGTCCTTTACTCTCTAAAGTAGCACTGCCCTTCCTCATTCCAAAATTTTATATATAACAAGTTAATCATATCTTTCAAACAATGGATCTCGGAATGAAATCTTTACTAGTATGTCAATATTATAACAATTTGTGTTAATTTATAAATTAGATCTTTTCTCTTTGATTTAAGTTCTATAATT